CTTATGTGACTCTGAACTGGTGTAAGTGACATCAGCATATTTTAGATGTGAAGTTCGGAGGATAATTTAGTTTCCCTTTGTTATGTGACCTAAGATAAATACTTTGTGGTTTAGCGTCCTCAACTTACTAACTGTTCGTTGTCACACCACTGCCTAACTCTGGGTAGCTTTCTGTTTAAACATTAAAAGTTTTTGGACAAGGATAAGATAAAAACAACGAGTCTGCAAATCATAATGAAACCAAGACGCTGTATTAAACTATTTCTGTGCTTGCTTACTAATAGTAAAAAGCTTAGATCAAATCTTTACAAGACATTTAGAATACATTATAAAGGGAGATCATCTAGAGCAAAGTACAGTAGAAAGAATTGGAAAAAGAGTTAAATATGTGTTTTCTAGTTGGCTATTCAAAACCATCAGTGATAATACTATAAGTTTCTATTGATTCACCTTAACTTTGAAATAACTGATTTTGTCTTAGTCTTAGTCTTAGTTTTAGTCTTAGAGTTTTTGGAGAGCCTTAGCAAGCCAGCAGATGGCAATCAGAAGGCCTAACTATTAAGGAAACTTTTTTTTTTTTTTTTTTTTTTTTTTTTTTTTCACAGAAAATGGATCTCTCTGTGAGTATATATAACAGCAGACTCACTGTGTCTGAGACCAAGCATTTTGGAAAGAAGCACCTGAAAGCACCATTTTCACTTTTGAAACCTCCTTACAGGAGTGTCTGTGTGGTGGAGAACCAACTGAGGTGCGAGCAGAGGAAATTCAGCAGCTCTTTGAACTGGTGAGAGAAGACGAGGTAGGAGATTTTCAGCCCAGTTCATGACTACTGTGCTCCAGTTCTCTGGAGCTGAACCCCATTCTTTTTAAGGTGCCTATGATAACAGCAATCCAATGTAGTGCAAAGATATCTCAGTCCTGCTGTCTGTTCCCTTATGGAAAACAAAACAAAACAAAACAAACAAAACAAACAAAACAAAACAAAACAAAACAAAACAAAACAAAGACGATGTGGAGAGCAATAAAGAATTAAAACAACTTTGAAGATAATATTCATATGTTCCTCAGTCTGTCCCCAAACTGTTATACTCTAGATTGTTCTTTACCATGATTTTGAAAGAAGCATAGAAAGTAACACGTCCAAGATGAAAGAACAAGAAATTTTTCTTCAATGTTACATAAAGATCAAGTTGGCGAGTGTCATTTCATGTGTCTTTGCTGCTGTTTAGCTCTCTGCAAAAATATCTAACAGTAAATACATATATATATATGGTAATGATATTTCCTATGTGGCACTGAATGCTATTCATAATCTCTTTTGTTTGTGAGATGAAGAATGAAATGGTAAATGGAGAAAACAGAAGAGAAAATTGGAAATGAACTGAACGACCTAATTGTTATAGACCATTACAGGAATTCTGGCAGTGTAGGTAGATACTGTCATTTGGATCTTTTCCTACCTCCAGCAAGATTATACAAATGGCTTCAGATAACACCCAAGAAGGGAAGAAAGCACCTGGGAAATTTGTGTATCTAGTGTCCTATATGAAAAGGAGGTTTGTAATCTCCTGTGACATCAGGAGTAGTTGGTTGTTAGTCATGTACCATTATGACATGACCAGGAAACATTTTCACTACACTTCTCACATTCTGTCACCTCCAGCTACCTGACTGTGTTACAGTGCAACCTAGCAATGGCCTGGTTACAAACTAAACTTTTTCATCTTGCAGCATATGGAGGATATGGTCCTTTGAACAAATTCAGCTGTTTGTGACTTCACTGATTTTTTTCTGGAAAGGCTACTTAGTTTATTTTGTTGTATTGTTCTATGATTAAATTATTACAAGTTAAAATAGCTATGTGTAGGTATAGCAAAGTATAAAGTGTGTTTGGGTATCTGTGTGTGCTTATTGCAGCAACATTGCCCCAGATGTCTGCATTTCAGATTCATGTGTTTTGCAAAGGCAGCCATAGGTTAGTAATCTCAAAGAAAGCCTGATGTCACTAAGCAATTTTGCTAAGATAGATGAAGAGACAGCTGTGTGGCTGTTTTCCTCTGCTTTGTATTTATGTAATTGTCCCATTTGAAGTTACCTGGGAACAGGAAATTAAGTTTTGTTTTTTTTTTTTTGTTTTTTTTTTTTTTTAGGAAAACAAATGTACATCCCTCTAATGTGATACTGAAGTTGCACATGTAGTATGAATTGCTTAAATTGTCTACTGAAATGTCCCTAAGAACTTAATTAGAATTGTAGTGTGCTGTTCACCAGAGAGTATTAACTCTGGTAAACAATTTCTTCTAAGTCTGTAAATTCATTACTATTTGTGTGTTAAAATTACAGTGAAAAATGTGACTTTCTAAAAAAAAAAAAAAAAAAAGAAACAAACAAACAAACAAAACCAAACAACAACAACCAAACAAAACTATAATCTTCCTGTGATTTACCTGTCATGCAAACAATGAAAAGAAAATTTTAAACTGTCTCTCACATAACTTCCTACAAAACTCCAAAAGAAAACATTCTGTTTTGAAAAAAGAAGCCCTTAAAAGTTGGTTGAAATAGAGATTAGCAATTACATTACTATTTTACTTTGCTTTGTTTTTAAAATTTTATTTTTTTGTTTATCTGTTTATGGATGTGTGTTCATAACCTGGAGCTTACTACAGATGCATGGTTGAGGATATTGTAAGCCCATAAATGACCTTTTAAAACTTTTTTTCACTTCACAAGAAGTTCAGGAAAGTATTGGGACATTTCTTCACATGAACACCATACAAAGATGTAAAAAACATTGTGTGAAAATGAGAACAAATATATATATATATATATTTATGTATTTAAATCAAGTCTTTGCTCTTGCAAATTTCTTCACAGGAGAAAAGACATCCACTTCCCCTAAATATCTCTGCAAAGACTTTTCACATGTATCCCAGCCAATCTTTGTGTGCTTGTGCTTTTAACACAGCCTGCATGATAAATTGGGATGGGATGGGATGGGATGGGATGGGATGGGATGGGATGGGATGGGATGGGATGGGATGGGATCCCACTGTGGTGCTATCTGATCCATACAGCAGTTTCCTCAAATTGTCATTTAGTGACTACACCCTAACCAGCTAAATTAACGTCTTTCTAGGCTCAGTGCTGGTTTTCACTTTGCACACTGAACAAATTGGTAATGCTGACAGCTGTTTCTTCTTATTGCTGTTTTGCCATAAGGGGCCTGGATTTAGTCCTGCTGATGTCACTCACATTTGCTGTTGCTGTCCTTAAGGTCTACTGACACCTTCTGTATTGCAGGGGAAGAATAGCAATGTGTTGGGACTGTAGTTTCTTCTACACCTGCCTGACATAGGGGTAACTAAGCATGACAGACAAAGGACCCTGTGCTCTCCCTCTCCCTGCGTGGGTACTCTAGGTATGCAGAGCTGTTCAGCCTCTCATGTCAGGTTGAACTGCCCTACCCACCTGAAATTGTGCAGGGGACCATGGGTTAGGTAGGTATTCTTTTTTTTTTTTTCCTGGATGATAGGAAGGAAGGCATCTAAAATTCAAGAAAAGGGAGAAAAATTCAAGAAAAGGGAGAAAAAGAAGGTTAAAAACACATCGATTTTATTTCTGGAGTAATTTTTGTGTCCCTTCTGTCATGCTTTGACTGGTAAGAGATATGTCTGAATAAAAAAAATTAAAATCAAGAATATCTCCATCAAGTTCTTAGCTCTCATATTTCACTTCTAATTGTTTATGTAATGCTAGTGGCACTGCAGAGGTATTTGTACTCTCTGCAAAATCAGTACTAGATAAAGATTGCCTATTTAATATACCATTTAGATCCTAGAAAATAAAAATATTTATATTCACTACTGAATGCTTCTGAAATTACATTATTTGGGGTATTGGCTTTTTCATGTACAAATCCTCTTGGTTGTAATAACAAAAGAGAAACTTTTTTTTTCATCAACTCTAAGTCTCAATGAGCTTATTAATAATCTGACTAGCTGCAAAATTTAAATATTTTTCAAACAATGTGTCAGGCCTGCCTTTGTAATTTCTGTTCTGACCACTAGATAACTCAGCAGACTCTTGACAGATCTTATTAATGCAGAGCAAAGATCTCAAACAGAATTTAAACAAACAAAAAAAAAAGTATAGGAAAACTCTTGATAGCAGAATTATTTCTATCAGATTTACTTCCCAGGGCAACAGTTCCAAGTTCTGGACCATCAATCAAAGGCCAATTGGAGGAAAGTGATGCTGCCAGCACATCTTCTTTGAGGCTGTAGCCAGAGTTGATGGGAAATAGCCCAGCAAAATGACATCATAAGTGACAACTAGGTATTGCTGCTAAATCAAGTGAACAACCTCCTCTAATGAATCTTAAATGACAGACAATGTCTCAAATGTCCATTCTCCAACCTCCAGTCAGTGGATTATTTAGGAGGTGAAGAGCTGCAATTGATAGAAAATAAAGGTAGTCATTATACAGGCTGAATCATTGCTGTGAAACTGCTTACATTTTTCTGATTACAGCCAAATTAATCTCTTGCTCATATAAGAACTGGGCTAGAAAAAAAAGTGTTCTAGTGCAAATAAGATACAAGGCATGTGTGAGGGGATATAGCTACTCTGGATAATAAACTAAGCCTATTACAGAGATAATTTTTTGTTGTTGTTGTTTCGCACTAACAGATTTCTGCCATCCTCTATATCATGACAATAGCAGATGCACCAGAAACTCTCTGTGCTAGACTACTGGCAAGTACAAAATTCAGAAGTATATTAGACAATGGGATATATTTGTGTTGCTGATCTCTCTGGATGGGCCCCAGAAAAGCCAGTTTCTTTACGTAGGTCAGACAGAGTACGAAGCATTGCATGACAGGAAAAAAAAAAAGAGTAAAGACACAGGTGAGTGTTTTGACCTTTATTCTCCATTGCCCTTTATTCTATTTTTTTTTTTTAGTGTACTTTACCAAACTATTTTTTTTCCCTTTTGGATTTTAATTAAAGTTTCCTTAAGCTTGCTTTTTACCTGCCAGTTTTCCCCAAATTTCATTGTTCTATCTATAATTTAATTGTGTCATTAATGGACAATATTCAAGTAAAACTTTGAAAATTTTAATCAGGCAGGTATAACAGGCTTTCTAATTATTTTGAAGCTGACTATCACCCATTATTTAACATACATGTGATTTTCACAGCTGTGCAGCAATAGAAGTATCTTAGTTTTCATATAAGGCTAACTGTACTTAGCTCTGAACTAGGTCACATTTGAAATGTTTGATGTCGGCTGCCAGGTGAGGACTGGGTCTAAAATTCAGAGAATATTTTGCTGCTGCTTTTCTTGTGGCCAAGATTTTAGTTTGTCACCGCCAGAAAATATGAAATCCTTTTCTCTTTGCTTTTCCAATTTCCTTCTCTCACACAAATCCATCTTAGACTCATTCAGCTTTATTAGATTTATTCTCAAGTCATATTTCTGCAACTGCAAACAGAATCAGACCCAGCAATGCACTTTGCCTTCAGAATAATTATCAGCCTTCCATACAGAACTCCATTTATGTCCAGCTACATGTACTGCTAGGAGGACCTATACACTGATTTTCCGTAGGTTGTATAATACAGTCCTTTCGTAGGTTGTATAATACAGTCCTTCAGTTTTACATCAAGGATTACCCTGACAAGAGAGAGCCTTATAAAGACAAAGCACCACACTTGGGTAACACGTGCATAGAATCCACATGCAGACCCGAAGTTATTGACCAGGCAGAGTAACTTTTCCAACCATCACACTGTGCAGTTTTAAAAATAAAGTGCTATTTGTTTATGGCTAAACCTTACATGTGGCTATTGCATGCACACTTCAGGCTGCATTGCCAAAACTGGAACATCTTTACCAATAAAAAATGGAGCCTAAACACTAGGGCAATGAGTTGTTGTTTCTTTTCCCCTCATTTTATTTTGTGTTCCAACACAATTTTTTGTCAAACATAGAGCATGTGAACACACAAGAATTTCCTCTACTGTTTCTCACACAAAGCTATTCACAGAGGAGTAATACTAAGGAGGGATGTCTCTAAAGCCTTAGATAGCTCTTTCATTTATTTTGTTCTATTTTATTTTGTTTTGTTTGTTTGGTTGGTTGGTTTTTGTTTAATATTATGACAAAATATTATAAGATTTTTTTTTTTTTTTTAAGTAGTATGAATATCAAATGGTATCCATCAGTCCCTGAATCATGCTATTCAAAGTGCTTAAATCTGCATAAAATAGAACAGAAAAATACTCTCCATGTGGCTAAGGAAACACCTACCTAATGCTGCCTAAATGTGACTCTGGTCAGATTCTGGTCAAGTTACATTCTACATTTATTCCACATTCCAGTCTTTACCCCAGGACATGTAAAAGGCAGAGAAAAGGAAAAAAAAAAAAAAGTAATGCACTGCTTTAGAGGGTACTGGGGTATTTGGCATTAAGCTGAATGAAGAAAAATGTCATCGATGTCTGTCAGATGTCCATAAGAGCAAATATTAGCTTTTTTTCATTATGAAAATAACCAAATGTGCAAAGCTGTCTTAAATTTTTATCAGGGCTGGCAGCTTTGTCTCCATTCTGGGGACATTTGGCACATGTCCAGTGGGAGATACCATGATAAAGAACAGATTGTAGAAAAGGACTTAAGCAAATTGTCAGAGAAACGAACATTTTATAGCAAACAAAAGCAGCACACATCCCAAAGCCCTATCAGCTTGTTATGCAGATACTGAGATTTCTTGACTTTCGCAACAGGATCATATCTTCTTCCTCCTACACTGTCAGTTCTGGATTACTTCCACAAACATCCCCCAAACTGCAGTTTACCTGCTCTCTACCCATCACTTCTCATAAAGAAAGACCAAAATATTATAAGCTGTGCTTTTCTCCTTCAGATGATTAGGATGAACAACCATCACAAATCCATTATATTGGCCAGTATCAGTCAGATACCATAAAAATACCTAAAGCTAATTAATTGCAGAAATAGACTATAAGGTCTGTCTGTGAGGATGCCAGTTACAATTCTGCCAGAGTCAATCAAACCCATGACTGCACTCTGCCCCAGCTCCTCTGTTTCTTTTAGCAGAGACTACCAGAGAGCTTGGCCTAAATAACTCATATGACTATGACAGTGCTCCATGCTGCTTTTCAAACCAGAAAGGACTTTTCCATTATTTAAAACATAAGTATAAGTAAGATGCTTATTTCATTTGTCTTAAAAATGTCCAGATGTAAACATAGTGGCTTGTTTCTTCTCTTGAAGCCATGGTACACACATTATTTGCAACTCCTCAAAGATAGAATCATACATAAAAAATAAAACTAATTTATTTAATCATTAAAGTGAATAAAGTGTTTTAATACTTCCAGGTCTGATTTAAATAATTTTGTATAAATAAAGTTTATTCTGAAAACAATGATATTTGTCAGTTTTCTATCTTTTTTTTTTTTTTTTTTTTTTTTTTCTGCCTGAGTACTTAACTGAAATCATGTTGTAATTGTTTTACTTATTGTTACAAGCTAAAACCAAATGAAAGAATATTTCTTAATCTAGAATATACCATTTTAAAGCAAGTACATTTTAAAAACATTAAGATACAAGGGGACTCTGCAATCAACAGCAAAATAATATTTTGCTCTTACTTTTTCAGAAAATAACACTTTAAAACAAAGTGACAAACATGATACTGCCTTTTTATTCCCCTTTGGTTTGGAAATCATCATTGTAAATATCAGCAGGACTCACTGCACTTCAGTGACTATTTTCTCATTTGTCTTACTTGCCTGAAGGCTGCAAATGATCTTATTTGTAGGATTTTGAAAAGGGGAAAAGAAAATGTCAAATGCTTAAAAATAAAATCCACAGCCATATTAATACTTTTCCAGGAAGTGTTAAAAATAAGGTTTGCTTTTATATTTATAAAAGGGGTACAATTGACTCATTCTTAAAACAAAACAAAAACAACAATAACAACAACAAAAAGCAAACAAACAAGAAAACAAAAATCAAACCATCTCTATATTCTACACACTCTGTAGTGACTACTGTGAAGCAACTGATACAGATTGGGTATATTCTCTTGTTTGACAGGTTTCTACCAAGTTAAATGTTAGATGATCAGACTGCAGTACCCCAAATGGGACCATAATAAGGGCAGGGAAGAAGCAGTGCATGTTACGAGAGGAGAAATGAAACCGGAGCTCTCAGTGAAGGATGGGGTCCTTCTAAGAACAAATATTCTCCAAAACAGGTGAACTGCAGCAGGCATGGCATTCAGGAATCAGGCTAGACAGGCCAACAAAATGGATGGCAATTCTGATACCAACAGAGCTTTGTCCAAGCATTCCCAAGAGAGGTTAAAAACAAACAAAAAAAAATCTAAACCTATACTAATGAAGCAAAAAGTTTCCTATCTATACAGAAGTCTCTTCATTTAAAAAAATGTAAATATACAAATTCCAATGACATATAAAACAAAGTTGAAAATGTAAATGGAAAGAGACATGGGTAAAACAGGAAGACCAATGCTACAAAGAAATTGCAAAAAACATATGTACAAGACCCTGTTTTTCCTCGTATGTTATCAATTATAATGCATGTTTAACAGCAGCAGTCGAGGATGTAGTTCCAGGCACCAGACTGCAGACTCAGCTCCTACTCAAGGGGGTGGATAGCCCCTTGTATTTCTGTCACCAAATGACACTTGATATACTGGTCTCCCGTGGCAAGAGGGGCAGTATCGCACTGTTTGTGTGAGCCTCTTCCGGATTCTGCTCCCTGTTAGTTTTTGTCTGTGGCCGCTGCCCGTTTATAAGTGTCATAGGGATGTTGCAGTAGGTATGCTGGTTACCTATTGAGGTAAGCGGCAGGGTGCCAGTAGGAGGTACATCATATTCATAGCTTCTATAATAGTGTTTCTGGCGCATCTGTGAGTGATATGTATTGTGAAAGGTGGAGCGCAGATCTGGATGGGCAGTGGCAAGAGCAGTGGAGGTGGCAGCAGCCATTGAAATTGCGGAGACTGTCTGCAGTTCCCCAAAGGGCCCCTGCTCACTGACATCTAAAACCTGCTCATGTGTGATGGGTTCAGTCCTCTTAAAAGGCATTTCATACTGTAAACGTTTCCAGAATTTGGAATTTAACTTGTTGCATTTTGGTCCATGCCATTTAATGACGGTGAGGAGCTTGATGGTATGTTTCAGGGCCTCAACTTCCTGGTAGTTCATAACTCCTCTCAGTTCACTGCATTCGATCAGTATCACTTTGATTTCACCAGTGACTAACATGTTTCGAAGCCTTGTTTCCAGTTCAAAGATGCTCCAGCCTCTTCTTACAACATAATTCGGAGTCATGACGATAATCAGTCGTTTGCTTTGGTCTACACATCTTGCCACGTCTTCAATGTAGGCTACAAAATAAGACAATTGTTCAAAAATCAAGCCAAGAAAATACTCCATTCCCCTAGACTGTGGAGAAAAAACAGATGTAAACTCCCTGCTCCCAGAAGAATTCACTGAACTCTGCAAAAACATCACCTTCAGACAGGTCAGGTTTGCTTGCCAGGACAACCTGGTTTGGGTGACCCTGCTTGAACAAGAGGGTTGGACCAGATGACCTCCAGAAATCCTTTCCAACCTTAACTATTCTGTGATTCAGTGAAACATTTATCCTCCTTTGTGCTATGGTTTGGTAGGGAATGTGCATGAACTGTCATTTTGAACCTATATCTTTACTGGAAGAAGTGCATTCATCACCATTTTATTCTTTAAAAAGGAGAAGTCACCCAGGTAGGAAACAGAACAGAAACTGTGCTTTGTTGACTCAGTCTCAAATTCAAATGATACTCAAATGATACAATTGTGAAAGATATAGGAAAAAGATATACTTATATCAATTGGAATCTATTCTCATTTTCAATCTCCAAGAATACTCCAGTGCCTTCACTACACATTTATCTTCAGTGGGCACTACCAGAACTCACTTCTTTGCTCTGCTGTATCTTCTGGTATCATTACTCAAACCTTGCCTCAGTACACACAATTTTTATTTTTTTTTTTAATTCCTGTCTTAATTTTTGGAATACCTGCATATCAATATTTATTTATATATTTATTTACTTTTGAATTAAAGTCATGGATATCTTTCCAGGAAAACACTCAGAAACAGAAAATAAAGACTTATTTTCTTATCCCTAGCTGTGCAGGCTCTCCAAGAATCTGTGAAATATTATTAATAAAATTCATTTCCATTACATATGCATGTCCTTTCTGCACTGTCTCACCTCCAACAAGTATAATACAATTATTAAAATATAATCCTCTTATCTGGGAAATGCACATTAAACATGTTTGGTGGTTTATCTTCATTATTCCCAAGGATGATGGAGGAAAGATGACATTCTGAAGGAGTAAGCATAGAAATGATACTAAAATCATATATAGAATCACTTCATTTGATATTTAGGAAATACACAAGCCTAAAGACATGTCTTACTTCCTGTGGGAATTAAATCCCTGTCTGGTATGAACAGCTTGTATCCATAATGCTTTTCAAGCATATCTGGTAAGATCTCAAGAGCAAATCTTTCTTCTTCTCCAGTTTCTTGATTCCACTGGTCAGGATCCACTTTGGTATAGGATAGATATGCATCATAGTCTTTATTGTCTAAAGAAATAGAGGAAGAAAATAAGTTAAGATTTTTCACTGTTCCTAGATAATTGCCGAGGAATTGTTCCTGGCAGAATTGCCCAGGAATAGCAAATTGTTTAGATAAAATAGCAAGCTTTCACTCAATCTCCAGTTATGAAACCATTCACCTTTCATATTTCACCCAGTGGAGTTAATACTTATTTACATATTTATGGTGCCAGGAGTTGGACCTGATGATCCTTATGGCTCCCTTCCAGCTCGGGATATTCTATGATCCTATGGCTCACATGGATGCAAAGAAGAAGAATCCATACCCATACATTGAAGTCACTGTGTGCTTAATTGTGTAAGGCACTGTATGAAGGAAATTCACTCAGCTGTGTGGTGGCAGCTTGTGAGCACAGAAGAAAAAAGTCACTGAAAAGAATACAAATTATTTTCAAGCTTTAAAATGGAAAAGAAAGGCATGTAAATAGGTAAGCTCATAAAGTATTGTCTCTGTTGCATCATAAAAAAAAAAATCGTTCTTGCCAAATTTTCACTACAAATTTAAGGCTCAAAATGTTTTAAGAATATGCGTAGATTTAGTCATAACACTCATCGGCTTTTCAGGTCTGAGATTATTGGCAAGCTTAGATCTATGTAACATCAGATCCTGAAAATGCAGTTCAAAACTATTGAATTCAGTGTGCTTAAATATGTAAATTTTATGCTACATTAATGTACATTTTAGTATTTAACAGCATGTTATTTCATTTTAGTAAGAGGAATAAATTTGCCGGTTTCTTAAATGTGCTTGGTGTGCCTACTTGAAAGACTGAATCAAAAGAGCCATCATTAATTTTCATTAGGAGGTCAATAATGCCAAGTGCTCTGGAACTAATTCAGTGGAATAAGAGGTCATGTTTTGACTTTTGTTGTGAAGAAAGCAGAAAAAAATCAATGGCAAGAGTAATGAAATGTTAACATCCTTCTAACTCTTTTGAAAACATATGCACAGGCTATCGAGAATATCAATTGCTTGTAAAAGATACCTGATTGAATACTCTACTCTGTATCATAAGAAATATTATATCCATTCACTGTTGACTTCAGTTATTTACTCAGTTAGTCCTTTCATGATTTTATACCTTTTTGTACTCTATTTGGAAAAACCTGTTGAATGCAGGAGGGGTGCAAAGTAAAGTTAAAGAACAGGTGCTAATCTTGGATGGTCCACTCCTTCTTCCAAGGAGCAATTCATACTGTTTTCATAAATATTTGCAGATGACAAAATTAAAATAGTCAAACTTCTTTCAAACTTTCAAATCTGATATAATAAGTGTATGATTCATTTTCTCTCTTACACTCATTTTATGTTAAATTATCTATTGGATTGCTATGTTAACAATAGATTAAAATAAAATAAAATAAAATAAAATAAATAAAATAAAATAAAATAAAATAAAATAAAATAAAATAAAATAAAATAAAATAAAATAAAATAAATACCGCAAAACAACAACAGAAATGAAAGAGAAGAAATACCGTCTTTGGTTTTGTTATTCCATTATTTCAGTACTTGTGAAACCATGATCCTTCATGATAAACAAGAACCTAATGCCTCTGACAATGCCTTGAAAGAACACCATATAGATCAAATATGAACTACAGGGAGATTACAGAGCAGATTCCAGTTCTGCATTAGAATAGTTTTAACTCAACAATCATGTTAACACATAGAAAGGTCAGGAAATATATGAGGTAATCACTACAACGGACAAAATGATGATGTGTAATGCCATTTTCTTTTATCTCATTAGTAATGGTCATAAACATATTACATGTTTTAGAGCAGCATTGGTTCACTGGAAATCTTTGAATAAAGATGAGAATGTATCATTTCTCAAAGGGATGAATCATAAGAAATAATGCAGTGTTCAAACTCTTTTAAAGGCTTCAGGACATTGTCTGTTAAGATGGTTTGTACATTCTTAATTGGAAGGAAAATTATTCACGCTACGCCACAATTTTCTTGTATATGTAAATATCACATTAATGCCTTTATTTGAAATATATATACTTTTATACGATGGAGGATCCAGCATTCCCACTTACTACAAGTGCATTATACATGATTGCAGGGAACATTTCTTTGTACACTAGTTCCCTAGTTTTAATAGCATTTGTGTCAAAAGCTATGAGTGATCAGGATCTAGAGTATGTGTACACAGATGGTTTCAGGCAATCATGAATTTATTCAAACTCCAGTACAACTAGATGTGAATCCAGTTTGGGAAACTGTTAGCTGCATTCACACAGTGGTTTCCCTGAGCTATTATACTCCCCATCTGTCAGTTATTTTTAACTCTGATGAAAAGTGGAAAATTCAGTTTATAGAAAAATTATGTTTGATAATCCTGGTACCTAATGGGATGACATACTGGCATGAGCAGACAGTTCTCAAAATGTGAGGTGCCTGGGATACAGAGTATACCTTACACTTTTTTTTTTTTTTTTTTTTTTTGAGGCGGGCAAGGAGGTTACATTGCCAACACTTTGAAACATTTTATGGACTACAACAGGCAGATAGCTGTGGAGCTGTCAGAAGCTATCATATCTGTGACGTCAAATATCAATATAATTATTTATTATTTTCCCTAATTGTTATTGATAGTCAAAATATAGAATTTCAAGTTGTAATGAAAAAATTGAGGACTCTTAAAATTATCAAAATCTTCTATCTCCAGGGAAGTTTTTAAACACAGAGTAGGTGACCTCTTAGACTGTGTTTCTACTCAGTTAAAAGGCTCCACCTACTTCTAATTTTAATGACTGGGACTAATACCTACATACCAAAGAATATTTCTGATCTTAATTTCTTCGTTTCCCCTCCCCTCCCTTTTTCTTTCCTAACATGCTGTGTCAATGAACTGAGAGGGACTGATGTGGGTCTGCAGCCATGTGGATCTTGTGGCAGAGTGAAAGTCTGGCAGCTGGGGTTCACATCTTGCCAGTCTTTTGGCCATATCACAAGGAAGCAGGAGGTTCTGTAAAACTTTTGCTCTTGGGTTGTTTCCCATGTAGACCTTCATTTCAGTAATGTATCTAGGAGCCCTCAGACTCTGAGCAAGCATGCAGGAAATCTATCAGAGCTTTGTGTTTTCTTGATTGTTCACTGGAACAGATATTTATCACATGAAAATGTTTGGTCGCAGCATATCTTCCTTTTCCAAAAGAACAAAAAATATCAAAACAAACAACAACATCAACAAAAAAGCAAAACCAACAACCAAACAACAACAAAAGAACAAAACCAAAAACAAACAAACAAACAAAAACAACAAAAACAACAAACTTAATCACAAAAATCCTGATCTGCTCCTAATCACAATCAAATCACAAAAGAGTTGATATTATTACTCTTATGTGATATAGTGATAACTAAATGTTCCTAGATTTGAGTACACAATCAGTTCATATACTGACTGGAACAAATATTCTGTTCTAGAAAACAAAGGCAAAGAGGCAAAGAAAAGAAAAGCGAAACAAAGAAAGCTTTAGTGGCATCAAAAAATTCTTTTTACAATGAGAATTTCCTCATTTCCCCTCATCAGCAAACAATTAAGTCTTCAGTCCAAGCATCCCCTGAATGAAAATGTGATTGACTGCCACTGTACTTTGACTTTATGTATGGCACATCAAAGATTTGTTTTATTATGGCATTTCAAAGATTTGTTTCTGTCAGGCTCCTGTGCTTTAGCAATAAACTGGAATATAGTTACTCACTAATTGTTTCCTCCCACACTTAGGAAGAAAAATAACTGCTAATTACCAAATGCAGGATTTTGATCATTTGATCTGAAACCTTTTTTTGTCTCATGGAGACTTTTAGCAATTTTCTACATATACTTTTGTACTTGAAAGCACATTTCTTTCCTTAACAATTTCAGGAAATATATTATATATATATATAAATATATATATATGTATATGTATATATATATATATATACACACATTTACAGAAACATATCAGTATAGGTTCTTCTTGCATTACCTCCAGGTACTTTGCAGAGCTGTTTTATGTAATAGCTGTCCTTTAATTCAGTAAACACATCTGAGTATGATATACAATATCACACAATGGCAATAATTAGAAACATTTTGCTGTAGATGGGAAGAGGTTTGATTCCTCTTTTCATTCCTTGTGAATGGACAAAAGATCCTCTCCAGTTATGTGGTTATAGCTGTTTTCTGCTGCCTATCAGGTATACAAGTAGGATGGAGCCCTTCAGCTCAACAGCCTTTATTTCTGTGAAGCTTTGTTGTATCCATTAACCAAAAAGATTGAAATGAAACATAAAGCATACCTTGCACAGTCAAATTCATCAAGATTTAATAAAATAAATAAAATATAAAAATAAAAAATAAAATCAGTTGTGTATTGTAAACAACCATGAGAGCACGTGGAAGCTCTGGATTAGCGTAGCACAATGGGGTTGAGCATGGTCTGTGCTCCAGGTATGATACATTCAGTCCACAACTGTTTCAGTCAACCCATAACCACAGGTACTATAAGGCTCTGATCAAAACCGACCATGAAGTACAAAGTTCACCATAGCATTTTAACTGTCGTATGGAGTTGAAAGTAAGGCCATTGAATAATGTTCTTGGAGCTAAACTCAACCACAGGTCAGAGAAAGTTGTTTGCCTCTCTTAGAGATAAACATTTAATGTGAATTTATGAAGTGTTATCCATTAAGAACATATAAAAACATTATTTAGTTCATTGACCAGGATTTTATCCAAAACACCTGATACATCAATGAAACATGAATTCTTTAACACTCTCCATTCTTTCAGCAATCATCCAAACATAGAAATGGTCACATTTCCTGTAACTTTCTTCAACGTTATCCCTGCAGAAGTGATAAAAACTTTTAGGGGATGAAGCTGTAAGTCCTGCTTGTTATTCCAAGGGTGTGTTCAGAAGCAGTCATTTAAAGGCTCAATGTAAGCATAAAATAAAACTCA